AGCCCTGACTGCCGCCCATAGTTCCAGAGGCTCACAGGGAGCCCAGCACAGCCTCCGGGCTCTGGGACCCTGAGCAAAGGACTGACCCTCTCACTCTCAGTGTCTTTATTTCTAAAACGGGCAAGATAATTCTGTCACCCTGTAGGAATGTTGTAAAGTTCAAATTCGACACCATAGGTATAATGTGCTGGTCACAGTTCGTGGCATGAAGCCAGCACTCAACAAATGCAAGTTATTCTTTTGTTCTTCTTCTTCTTCTTTTTTTCTTGAGAGGGGGTCTCACTCTGTCGCTCAGTCTGGAGTGAAGTGGCACAATCTTGGCTTCAAGTGATTCTTCTGCCTCAGCCTCCCAAATAGTTGGGATTACAGGTGTGCGCCACCATGCCCGGCTAATTTTTCTATTTTGTGTTTTTTTTTTTAGTAAAGATGAGGTTTTTGCCATGTTGGGCAGGCCAGTCTCAAACTCCTGACCACAGGTGATCCACCCACCTTGGCCTCCAAAGTGCTGGGATTACAGGCATGAGCCACCAGCCACGGGCATAAATGCGAGTTATTCTTTGTATAGCTCCAGGACTGGGAAAGCATCACAAAGGAGGGAAAGAAATAAGGGGCATTAGAGAGAAAGGAAGATGGGGCATCACCTCAAATCGGGAGATGAAGTCCTTCAGATTTGGAAAGGCGTCCAAGCAGGTGGGCTCAAATATTTGGTTTCTCTCAAGGCCATCATAAGCGATGAAATCCACAAAGGTGATCTGGATAAGGTCAAGGATATGTGGGCTGAAACCTCCATAATACAGGAAGCATGACAAATCTGTAGTGTTCCCATCACACGTCCCAGGTACCTTGTCCCCAAGAAACCATGGCCGCTTCCCCAGAAACTGTGAGTAGAGCTTCAGCATTTCAGGAAGTCCCTCCAGGTATTCTGGCTTTAGTCTCTCCTGAGGCAGAAAACAGCTGTCACCACCCTCAGACACAAGCTCCCTGCACAGATGCGGCCTCCCCAGGGCTGTGCATTGCCCCAAGCAGCCACAGGCAAGCAGCCATCTTCCCCACAACTGGAACTGGGTCAGTGCCAGGCTTCAGTTGAATACATCAGCATTTATTAGACTCTAACGGGGTGGCTCAAGGCTTTCTGAGGTGATGGGAAGGCAGAAAGGAATGTGACACTGTCCCTGAATCTGTCCCCACTGACCTCCCAACAACCTCTGGGTCAGCCCCAAGAGCACCCTAGCACCTGGCAGTCTCTGATCCAGACATGAGCAGAATCTAGGATGCAAAGAACTTTAGGAGCTCAGGGAAAGAAGTAGAAAGTTCCTCCTAGTGGAGCGGCAGAAGAATACAATGGACATTGAGTGGTTTCTGAAAAGATGAGGAGATATTCAGAGGCTGAGTGAAAGAAAGGAGGGGAAAACAGAGCCTCTGGCTGTGTCCCTAAGCTGCCTGTTGGGAAAATGCGCTGATCTCAGTGTGTGTCAAGAGAGTACTCAGAAGACACCAAAGTCTGTAGGTGCCATTGCATTCCTTTCTTTTGCGCGTGTTTTCCCCCAGTTTGAGTTTGTGTATGCCAAAGCAAGCAGACGATATAAACCGCTTAGGAGAGATGGCCCAAAGCACAAGTCATGGGTCAGAGATGGAGGGGATTCTAGAAGTAACCATTACTGTCTAGAGGGTGAATCCATACCCTGGGGAGTCTGGAGTCTATAAGTGCATTGGTTGGGAATTGATTTAGAGGTTTTGAGACAACTTTGGAGTTTGAGAGTCACTCTGGTGGCAGTATAGGAAATAGCTTGGAGGATGAGTAGCAGGAAGGAGTCCAAATGGAAAACAGGAACAGTGTAGATGGCAGTACCAGTCTTGGCTCCTGATCAAAACTCTGAAGGGAAAGGGGTGACGGGGTAGGGGGCTCACAAAATCTGGATCATAGCAGAGTCTGGCCAGCTGCATGCGGTTGTCCATAAGCTGGTTCTCCAAAATGTCTTCCCAAATCTTCTCCTCTTCTGTCTCCCCACCTGCCACCCACAAAACACAGACTCACTCTCAGCATCGCACCCCAGACAAGCCCNCCGTCCCCCATCGTGTACTTCTTTTCCTCGTAGCTTGAGTCTGTGTATTCCAGGAGCAGGCGGATGGCGTGGGCCAGCTGGGAGACATGGCCCGCGGCTCGGGTCAGAGCTGGAGTGTCCCTGACTTGATGACTCTCTCTGCACCAGGGGAGCCCCCAGTCTACACTGCACGCACCGGTCGCCTCCTCTACCCGCCCCCACCCCCGAACACACACACTGCGTCATGCACAGGCCCTTCTGAGGGGCGGAGGGCCTGTGGAGGAACTGTCCCTAGAGCCGGTCCCGCAGCTGCTCCGCACTTCCCTCCGCCGCGCCCTCGTCCCGCCGCCCAGCGGACCCTCGCTCACCCCGCGGAGGTCCCAGTACCCCAGTGTCATGGGCATGGTGCTGGCTTGTGCGGATTCTGCAAACAGGCCTCAAGCGGCGCCGGAGTCAGACTTTTAGTCCGGAGAAAGGGGAGGAAGGGCCTTGCTGCGACCCCGCCCCCAAACGCGCCCTTCTGGAGGCCCGGGAGCGCGCGCCCGGGGCTGGGTTCAGTAAGAGCCCCTCCCGCCCGCCAGCCTAAAGGGTTCCGGGAGCGAGGTCAGAGCACCCCAGGAAATGGGCCAGAGGAAAGGAAATGTGGTCTGTGTGTGCTTTTAGGGGCCCTTGGGTACTGAGTCCTTGGGTCATCTGACCAAGTACTGTGTAAATTAGCCACTTCGTATTTTGGCACAATTTATGAATCTGAATCCAAGGATCAGACCCAGCAAGGAGGTGAGGTATCTGAGGTGCCCCCTAGAAATGTCCAGCCAGTCGGCTAGGTGAGCCTCACATAGACTGCACAGCCTAGCAGTGAGTTTAGTGGCCACAGAGGAAAGCTGAGGGAGGCTGAAGGACTCCCCCCACCAAACTGAGGGTCGAGCTGCTGTTTCTCTCGGCCCAATAACGAGATGCAGATGAGCTGGGGAGAAAGAGTTTTTATTTCTGCAACCGGTTACAGGGAGAAGGCCTGGAAATTACCACCAGACCAACTCAGAATTACAAAGTTTTCCAGAGCTTATCTACCTTCTAAGCTATATGTCTGCATGTAAGCGTGCATTCATCTAAAGACAAGTGATTAACCTCTTTTAATCTATCACTAAGGTCTGAGTCTTGAAGACCTTCCTCTGGAGCCTCCTTCTATTTACTTAGTCTAAATGGGTCCAGGTGCCGGGGATGATTACCCTTCTCTTGTCTCCTGCTAAATCACAAAGGTTTGGGGAGTTCCTTCAGAACCCCAATAAACTTGTTTGTGGAGGCCTGGGGAGTTTCTTCAAACCCACAATAAAACTTGTTTAATCCTAAATGTGTCAAGAATTTCTTCATTATTTTGTCATGCTTTAAGGCCCAGGAAAGACCTAGGCAAACTCTTGGTGACCGTTTGTTACATTCCAGCCTTTGTATAAAGGCCTGGCTTTTTTTTTTAAGCTTTTAATATTTAACCACTCAGTCAGTACTGAAACAGTTGTTATGAAAGCCTGTGTTCGTGAGATCCGGCCTGCCATAGAACCTGTCCTCAGAGAGGGCAGAACCCTGTCCTGCTGAGGAGGGAGGTCAGAGGATGGTGGCCAGAGAGGAGCCTGAGGACTCCCCACAGGCCCACACGCAGGGTGGGGACCCTCCCCTCTCCAGAGCCACCATTCTGGACCTGGACCTGGCTCCTGACCCATGTGTGTTTTTCAGTATGAGAGGGTGGCTCCAGTGGCCTTTGAAGTCACGCTGTGATCTGTGACCCATGGTACAACCGCCACAAGAACAATGTCCAACCTGCCAACTTTCTTCTTTCAAGGTAGAAAGAAAACTATTTCAAGAGTTGTGCAGTGAAGTGACTTGGGGTTGATTTTGCTTTGTTTAAAGGATATTACAAATAATAATGGATATATGAAAACAGATGACAGACCTTTAAGGAGAAATCGTTTTACAATGTAAAGGACAATGTTATTGCATTGCAAAAAATTATTATTATTATTTTTTGGAAATTAGCTAAAATATTGTTAGGACTGCAGAGGATGAACGCAGTATACCAAAAAAAGTTTCAAGCCACATGGAAAATGTGTGGATTGGGGTTGAGCAGCACAGGGAGGCTCCACCACATCCCTATGAGGCTGCAGAAGTCAGGTGGTCAGCAGGTGTCTGCCAAGTTGGGGCACTTGGACACTGTGTCACTAAGGCTGGCAAGGCACAGTCCTTGCTGCAAACACTCCTTACCCATCCAGACCTGGGCAGTACTTCCAGCTCAGATACTGGTAGGTATCCATGTTTAGAAAGCAGTTTTGGCCTCAAAGTGAATTCCTATGTAGATTTTCCTGCAGTGAGGCAATAGCACCAGCACAGACGCAAGTGCCTGGCCCTAGGAATCGTTATATTTCTCATTATGCATTAAGAGTTTATGATTCTGAGTTTATCCATCTTGAGCTGTGAAAGATAAAATGTCTAGATCCAATTGAAAAAAAAAAATTTTTTTTTGAGATGGAGTTTCACCATGTTGGTCAGTCTGGTCTCAAACTCCTGACCTCAGGTGATCCACCCGCCTTGGCCTCCCAAAGTGCTGGGATTACAGGCATGAGCCATCGCACCCAGCCAGAAAATAAAATGATTTTTTAAGAAAGCTAACACTCATGAGAATAATAATGCTGAAAGGTGTAGAGCTGGTACTGTTACATTAGTATTCAGGTATTTGCTCATTTCTTTATTGAAACAACAGTTGAGATCCTACCACATTTCAGGCACTATGACTAAAACAAGGGACACTGTGCTTTGCCCATCTCCCACTGTACTTTGCTACATATCAGGTGGGAACTTCAAGGGAGAGACTTCGAAAATGTGGGACACATCGTTGCGTTTTTGCACACTGAAAGGCAGTGGAGTGCGAGAGGGGTTGAGTGCAGCAGAGGAAAGCAGTGCCTGCTGTTGCAAGGACCCTGAGGAGCCAGGAAGACGGGGCGCAGGCCCTTCAGAACGAGGAGAACAGCTCTGCCGAAGCAGGAAGGATGGACCAGCAGGCTCTCCAAAGCGGGGGCCACAGTGGCCACGAGGCTCATACCGGCAGAGGGAGTGGGTCTGTGGATCGGGATTGGGAGTGGCGGGGATGAGAGAAGCTGGAAGTCTTCTGAAGGGAGGGGTTGTAGTGGGTTGTCATCACACAGAGACTCAGTCCCAATAGGGCCAGGTCTTCTGGGTTTATATGTACTGTCGGAACTGCCAAATGTGGACTAGTTCTAATTTTTAAAACAACACTGTGCCAGACGATCAAAATGCACTGGGTCCCATTCGACCAAGGTCCTGTAATGGGACCTCTGGACTGGATTTCATAATTCCTTTTGTCTCTTCTGCCAATGTTCTTAGATTCTCAAGGCAGATTAACAGAAAATCTACATAAAATATTGTCAAAATTTTAAAAACCAATCTATTAGAAACGAATACAGACAAAATAAAATGTATCCTACTTCGTGGAAATTTTTTTAAAGTTCTCTTAAATACTGTTTGGATAAACCTAGGGAATCCAAAATATAAAGAATCCGTTCTTCAATCTGAAAAAAAGAAAATAAAAATCATCATTTGCAAGGTGCTACCAAATTTGAATTGAGAAAACTGGGCAGCCTGGTCTTCCAGGGCACAGGGTAGGTGGGACTGTCTCTGCCAGTCCAACGTGCCTGTGATACCCAAGAATAAGGGAAACAAACTAGAATTTTAAGAAAGTAGAACAGGAACAAAATTGGAGATGGAAAAGTGGAGGCAGTATCTTCAATATTTTACCTTAAGAAAACTTTAACCAACTTGCTTGTTATATGACATAGTCTATTCTCTTAAAAGTTAGCTAATTACTATGGGAGGCCGAGGTGGGTGGATCACCTGAGGTCAGGAGTTCGAGACCAGCCTGGCCATCATGGTGAAACCCCATCTTAAAAAAAAAAAGGAAAAAAAAAAATTTTATACGAAAAAAAAAGTTAGCTAATTAATGGAGCATTAGTACAACAACAAAACCAAAAAACAAAAACAAAAAACAAAATTACAAGTTAATACAAATCAGAACTAAGAAAGAAGATGTAGTACGAATCATTTTTTAAATTGGGGAAACACTTTTTCTACACTGTGTGCTAATTGATGATACCACCAAGTGGAAGAAACACAAACAGGACAAACAAAACATGTTAAGAAATAAAGATTCTGAACGAAGTCATCAAGGTGTAATATAGAAAAATAACATGAAAGGGCATTTGATCCTCAGGATTTGGTTGGATATGTTTTCTAAACTTTTGAAAATGTCATGGATGACACAGATTATCATAAACTACAGACATGACCTAACATGGGAAGGACAACACAGGCAAGGATGATTATATATCACTCTCACTTACCAGCCTGAATCCAAAAGTCAGGAATGCCACCTCAGAGAAAAGAAAATGGTATTTTTCTTATAATTGGTGTTCTGCTCATAGAGAGCTTGCTGGGGGAGAGAAAGAGACAGAAAGGCTGGGGCAGGAGAAGGAGGGGCAGAGGAGACTCTGCAGGGCAGAAAGCCCATGTGGAAATGTTAGTATCTGGGGTATAATCAGAGTCATTGCTATTCTTTCTATAAATTTCTTAAACTCTGACACTAGATCAAAATAAAAGGTAAAAAAAAAATACATATACTTAAACTCACATTATTAATAAATATTAATAGTACTTATTGACTTAAATAAATGTTCCATCCAAAAGGACTTACCTTCACTGCATGAGTTACATTATAATTTTTTTATTCTTTTTTTTTTTTAATGGTAGTATCCACCCAGCACACCACCAGTCTTCAGGTGAAGGTGATTTTGCCCCTCAGGGGACATGTAGCTTTGTCTGGAGACTTTGTTCATTGTAAACATGAGGAAGTGCCCACGGCATCTGGTGGGTAGAGGCTGGGTAGGATACTGAGCACCCTGCAATGCTCAGGACAGCACCCCCACAACAAAGAATTCTGCCCTCCAAATCTCCGTATGGCTGAGGTTAAGAAATGCCACTCTACGACCCAGCACTTCGTCAAAAGCTGCAGTGGGAGAAGCAAGGCCCTCGAAATTCTGGCTGGCAGGAAAGAGGCCACAGGACCCACCTCCCTGGACACCAGCTGGCAGAAGGGAGGACCTCGAGACTGTCTCAGCTGGGGCAGTCCCTGCAGGCATCAAGCTACACATCAGAAATGAGAGAAGGAGCACTGGGCAAGGAAGCAGTCTNGAGAGGGAGAGGAGGGGCCTTACAGCGCCCCCGAAATGCGAAATGCGCTCTGAAGAGGGCGCCAGGGGCTGGAAGGAGAAGGATCCCCTCCCACCGCCAGCCACGTGGGTTCCAGGAGCAAGGGCGGGGGAGAACTGTTTGAGCCTTTGAGCCCAGGGGTTCAACGTTGACCTGACCTATGAGCGCGCCACTGCACTCTGGCTTAGGCAACAAAGACTCTCTCTAAAAAGAGTGAGATTCTCAATAAAGTCACAATAGCCTAAT